GGAATTAGATCCAATAGGAGGAACCACCAGAAAATAAGAAACAAAGCTCAACAGAAGAAAAAAAAATAGCAAATAGTATGCTTTGATCTGCATTCAAACTCCATAGTTCTTTCTTTGGATGTGGATAGCATTTTCCATCACAAGGCCTTTGGAGATGTCTTAGATCCTTGTATTGCTGGGAAGGGTTAAGTTTATCAATATTAGTCATCACACAACGTGGCTGTTATTGTGTACAATGTTCTCTTGGTTCTGCTCACTTCACTCAGCATCAGACCATACAAGTCTTTCCAGGTTTTTCTGAAGTCAGCCTGTTCATCATTTCTTATAGCACAATAGTATTCCATTACATTCATATACCACAACTTGTTTAGCCATTCCCCAATTGATGGGCATCCTCTCAATTTGCCACCACAAAAAGAGCTGCTATAAATATGTTTGTACATGTGGTCCTTTTCCCATTTGTATGATCTCTTTGGGATACAGCCCTAGAAGTGCTATTGCTGGGTCAAAGGGTGTGCACATTTTTATAGCCCTTTGGGCATAGTTCCAAATTGTTCTCCAGAATGGTTGGATCATTTCACAACTCCACTGGGCATTTCTTTCAGATACATCTTGGATAAGTGCCTCTAAGGGCTTTTCTAACTCAGGTTCAATGATTCTGATTCTGCAGGACTCTGGGCAGTAGTAGGGTTAGGCACAATGGCAATGTCCCCGCCCTTGACAGAGGCACCTATGTATGAGTCCAAGCAGTAGGAAGCCCAGTGCTGAGTGACAAGTCATTGAGACAGTCTGTTGTCCTGCTGGGAGGGAGGGAGGAGGAAAAGAGGAAGGATGAAGCCACCAAGAGCTGGGGGGAGCAAAGAAAGCTTCTCAGAGGAGGGGGATAATCATGGAAGGAAAGGCAGAAGCATCCAGGGGGTACTTGGGACAAAGGGATCCTCTTGGGGACAGTCTTAAATGCCAAGCTAAAGAGGTTGGAGAGTGAGGTGTGATGTCATGAAGCTAGTGCTGAAGAAAGACTAGTGTGGAGGAAGGATTGGATAAAGGACTGGAGGCTGGAGGTTGGAGGCAAGTGACTCAGGTTTCAGTCTTGGTGACTCAGAGGATGGAGGAGGTTTGTGGGAGGAAGAGAATGAGTTGGAGGCTGGATGGAGATGAGGGTGCCCTACTGAGCTGGGGGACCACTGCTGCGTGGTGAGGCACCCCAGAGGCTGTTAGCATGAGCCTGGGCTAGCTCAGGACTGGCCAGCCACCGGGCAGATGACAAAGGTTGGGGGTGGGGCTAGCCACCACCATCCCTTCTTATTTCAGTTCTCACTTCAGCTGTTCTTCCTAAGAGAGGGGGAGTGTGAGTGTCCCCCCTCTGGCTCTCTGCTGTTCCTTGCTGTTCACTAACACTCCTTCCCTAATTCAGCCTGGATTCCAAAGCTTCCAAACTCCATGATCTTCCAGTTTCCCTGTGGGATGGAGGGTGCCTGTTTGGGTCTACTCAGAGAAGGCCCCATTTGGTCCTTGTCTCTGACTGGCTCTGGACATGACTGGGTCTGCCTGAAGAAGCTTAGCCTTTCCTCCTCTACCCAGCTTTGCAACCTCACCAGGGCACCCAATGGCACATCCATTTTTGAGGCAGAGACCCTGTCTGTGGTTGTCCTGTCGGAGCCTTGGATGGTAGGGAACATTTTCCTGCTTCAGTCAATGAGGACCCTACCCACACTTCTCTCAGGAGAAGCTGTATGGTACCAGGTGATGTCTAGGGGTGCTCAGCACCTAGGAAGCGTCCTGATTGGCTAATGGGGATTGGAGAATTGGGTCACTGACTGTGGGGGGAGTGCTCTAGAATAGGTAGCCTAATGAGATGGCCCAGGACCAGAAAGGACAAGCAGTGACTGGCTTTTCTGGGCCATCAAAGACTGATCCTTCCATCTGTGCTGGGAGGAGGCATAAGGAAAGGAGGAGATCCTTGTCCTGCCCTCAAGCAGCACATAGTCTAATTTGGCTTCATGCCTGGAGGCAGGAAGCCTGCTTTGCTGGCATCTGACCCTGGCCAAATCACCTAGCTCTCTGCCGTGTGACCAGCTCTGTGCTTGGCACCAATGGGCAATGTTATAAATACAGGATTGGGGAGGCCAAGGATCTGGAGGTTTTAGGAGACCCCAGGCTCAATATAAATCAAAGTATGGCATGACAGGTGAGAAGGTTAATGAGCAGAGCTTCCAGGAATAGGGAGGCCATGGTCCCCCTGAGCTCTGCTTGGGGCAGATATCCTCTGCAGTGCCGTGGTCAGTCCTGGGCATCCCTGAATAGGCAGGATGTGATTGAGGAGCGGTGTGTCCAGAGGAAGGGCCTGGAGTCCTGTTTAGGAGAATCTCTTGGAGGAACTGAACATTTTTAGGCTGTAGAAGAGGGAAGATCAAGGGGAAAGACATGTGGAAGACACATCCTCATGGAGTAGAAGGGTCAGACCTGTTCTATTTGGCCCCTAATGGCAGAATTGGGGGCAATGTGGGAGGGAGGATTTGTCAAGAGGCAAATTTAGGGTCCATTTATGGAAGAATTTCCTCACCATGCGAGCTATCCCAGAGTGGAAGGGCTGCCAGTGGAGGAAGTGAGCTCCCTGTCACTGGAGGTCTGCAAGCACAGGCTAGGTGCGCTTTTGTGCGGCAGCTGCAGATATAGCAACTCTTGGTCAGTTATAGGCTGGATTACATGACCTCCAAGCCTTGCTCTGTGAGCCTGTCCTCCAAGGCTCTAGATGCTGTGACCCCATGGGTGCTTCAGACTCTGAAGGGAGGAGGCTAGGGAGGGTGGTGATTCGTGTGGGCTGGGCTGTCAGGAGAGCAGTAGCAGGAGGCAGGGCAGGGCAGGACCAGCAGATTGCTTCTCCCACTTTCCCTGTGGTGCTTGTCCCCAGCCATCTTCCAGGTCTTGGTTGGTTTTCCTGGCTGGGGCCCAATTGAGTAGTGCCTTGAGCAGGCTATTGGCATAATGTCCTTGCCTTGCACAGACCAGTCCAGGGAAGTGCCAGGTTGGGAGTGGGATGGGGAGGGTAGATTCCTGGGTGGGAGGGAGGTCAGCTTGGTTCTCTCTCGGGCTGGCCTCTGCTTTTCTACTCCAGGCAGGACAGGAGTGCTGCACTGAACTTAGCCCCAGGGTGATGGACACCAGCAGCTATGCCCCGGTCCCATCCTCTGACTGCCATTGAAATAGGATGAAGGAGTTCCCAGCATCCCTGCTGAGGGGGAAGGATCTACTGGGACAGACAACCTCTGGTCTAACCTTGTCTCATCCATCCCGGGCCCCCTCTCCTCTCCCCTCCAGTGGTAGCAAGAATGATGCAGGATTTGGGATCAAGGGTCTTGGGTTCCAATCTTGGCTTTGCACTTATTACCTATATGATTTTTGGTCTCTCTCTGAGACTCAGTTTCTTCTTCTGTCTTAGACAAGACAGGCCCTTCTAACCCTAGAGCTCAGGCCACTCCCCCTCCTTTCCAGCCCCTCCCCCCCAACCCTGCCTGGGGTCCAGATGGGCTGCCTGAGGGGGAGGGGGAGGTTTTGGATTAGAGACTCTGGTGACTTTGTAGGCTTCAAGGTCCCTGGCAGTGCCCTGGGCTGGGCCTATGAAGTTCAGATTCGGTGACTTTCCCCTCTTTTCTCCTGCCCCACACAGATGGAGCCTTGCCAGTGCTCTCTCCCCTCCTTTGGAGGGTTGGCAGCTGGGCTCCTCCTTGGCCTGCTCTAGGTCTCCTGCTGGGATCCCAGCCATGGAGACTGTGCTGGACAGGGTAGCCTGGAAGCTCCCAAAGGCTGCTTGCAGGTGACAGAGACCTTGGAACCACCAGGCTCATCGGACCCAGGCTAGTGAATGCCACTGAAAAGCAGTGGAGTAAGGTGCCCTGGAGGGGGGTGCACTGGGCAGGCCCTCCTCCTCCCTGGACCCTGACCTCAAGTACCTCCTCTAGGCAGGGCAGAGGGGGCTGAAACCTAGGCCAGGGGAACAGGTAAGTCTTTCTAGCCTTGTGGGTGATTTGTCTGGGTTTGTGCAGGGCCAGAAGATGGGAAAAGGGGGTGCCTCAAGTACCCTGAGGAGGCAGGTTAACCATTAATGAGAGGTTTAGTGTCAATGTCAGCTTGGCAGGAGGTCTTCAGTGGAGTGCCCCAGGGATCTGCTGAGCCCTGAACTGTTTAACATTTTTTGTCTTTTTTTTTTTTTAAGGCAATCAGAGTTAAGTGACTTGTCTAGGGTCATACAGCTAGAACCTGTCTGAGGCCGGGTTTGAACTCAGGTCCTTTTGACTCCAGGGCTGGTGCTCTATCCACCTCACCACCTAGCTGCCCCTGTTTAACATTTTAATCAATGGCTCAGATACTGGTAAAGATCAAACATTTATCATATCTTTAGGTAACATACAGAACTGGCACATTGGATGACATAGGACCCAAAACAATCTTGACGGGCAAGAAGATTGAGCCAAATCTAATAGGATAACTTCATTACAAATGGGAGGCCTGAAACTTGGTCCCAAAAATCAACTTTCCAAGTGGAGAGAGGAAGAGAGTAGTTAGACAGCTCTTGTTCCGAAAAAGATCTGGGGATTTGAGTGGACCCCTAGCTCAATATGAGTCATCAGGGTGATGGGGGCAGCCAAGAAAAGGAATTTAACAATTCAAAGGGCCTACATAGGAACATGGAATCTCCTGCCTGGATTGACTCTGCCCTGGTCAGTCAATCAGTCAGTCAATTAGCAGGTCAGGCCTCATCGGCATCACTGGGTGATGTCACACAGGGGGTACAGATCGCTGTCCTCAAGCCTCCCTGAGCTGCCATGTGGAAGAGGGCTCAGCCTTCCCTAGAAGGCAGGAACAGGACCCATGGAAGGGAAGCTACAGAGACTGGTTGAGGCTGGACTTGTCATGGGAGCTGTCCCAGAGTGGAAGGTGCAGCCTCAGGTGGTGATCAGAACCAGGTGAGGCTGGATGCCCGCCCTTTCTATGGCTCTGGATTGGACCAGACGCCTTCTTCCAATTCTAAGAGTTGGTCTGGGTTCTTGAGGGTGACCCTGGGTTCTTGGAGGTGGTTTGGGGCATATGGTAGCAAGGATGGCCCACGGAACATGCTAGGCAACTGAAGCCTGAGAGAGCCACCCCCCCAGCCCACTGGGCCTCCCAGGGGACTCCCTGGAGCTGGGAGGATGGAGGCACCTTCCCCTCCCCCCCCCAGCAGGGGCTACAGCTGCATCAGCGCCACCCCCGCTGGCTCTAGTGTGGAACCCCAGGCTTTCTGATTTCTCTTTAACTCTTAACCCTTTCAAAGAGCATGTTAGGAAAGTGGGCGTAGCGCAGCCAGGTCTCTGGTGGAAACCTGTGGGTGGCAAATTTTACCAACTCCTCATCATTTCCTTCCCTCCTCCTCTGACCCAAGCCCCCAGCAGCTGTGGGCTCCAGCAGCAGGAGTGGCCAATCCCCAACCCAGGCCCTGACCCCCAAAGACCCTGTCCTGGTCCTAACGTCCAAGACGAGTCTCTCATTCACAACTGATTGATCTGGGGTGCAGAGAGGGCAAGGGATTTGTCCAAAGTTACTCAAAGTTTCCAAGATCCAGGGCTCCATTCCTGATTCCTGGTGACTGGGTCCTGTCTGGGGGAGGGTGAAGTGAAAAGGGCCTGGTGGATGCCTGGAGGACCTCGGGTCCTTGGGCCTAACTACCCCACCTCTGCCCCCACCCACTCCCTAAACATAACCTTAGACAAGATTCAAGGTCTGGCTAGGAGGGGGTGGAGGGGCCTCCTTGCGGTAGTGGTGGAACCCAGTGAGGAAACGCTGAGTTAGCAGCCCCAGAAAAGGTGTGGGCTTGTCTTCAAGGTCCCAGGATGCTAGCCCCAGTGTGTACCTCTCTGCATCCTGCCTTTCAAAGGTACGTGGGGATGGGCATGAGTCACACAGCCCGGGAGGCTGGAAAGCTCTTTCCATCCCTAGAGAAGGCCAGCTCAGGCCTGGGGGAGGCTGGCTGTTCTCTGCCCCCTGCAGACCACTGACTGTTACTGTCCCATGGCTGCCTAGCATTCCCCTAGCATCCTATTCTGATTCCTGAGAGCAGGCCCAGCTCCCCAGGGTGGTTCAGCCAAGCCTGAGGGGCTGAAGCCTGGATGACCAGGGTGGGCCGGGGATCCTTGGGGCCCCTAACTCAGACCAGTCTCCATTTATCTCTCCCAGTGATGTGCGGTTCTTGGTGGGCCAAGACCGGAGGGAAGTGTTGGCCCATCGCTGCCTGCTGAGCTCCCGTTGCGACTACTTCCGCCAGCTCCTGAGTGCTGAGAACCCTGTGGGGGGTGCCCCAGAGGAGCCTGTAGTCCTGGCTGATGTACCCCCTGAGGCCTTTTTAACGGTGCTGGAGTTCCTCTACACCAATAGCATCACCTTGGACAGGCGCACAGTAGGTGGAGGGGGCTGGCAGGGGTGGGAGTAACATTCCAGGCCCCTCCCTGGGCCATCCATTCTGAACCCTGCCTCTCCCTGACCTCGGCCCCACCCCTCCTCACTGACAGGTCCTGGAAGTGCTGATTTCATCGCTGGAATATGGGCTGTCTGAGCTTCGAGAGGTAGGGGGATGGGGAGGCAGGCTGGCAATGCCAGGTAAGGGCCCCCTAGGGCAACCTCCAATGCTTTGGTAGGTGAGCCGCTTCCTGGCCAGGCCGGGCAGGGAGAGGGCGAGGGTCTGATTCGAGTACTGTGCCTGGAGAAGTTGAGATGGGCCCAGAGGGGCAGGAAGGTACATTGTGGGGAGTGATAGGGCTTTAGGCAGAAGACAGGGGTTTAAATCTTGACCATCTACTCACTCCCTTTGTGATGCCGGTAAGTCATCTCTCCTAGCCTCAGTTTCCCCCTCTGTAAAATGAGAGGCCTTTTGAACTCCTCCCCAGTTCTGTTCATCTGGCTTCAGGCTTGCCCCATTGGCTGCCTTGGAATCTTCAAGAGGGGAGAAGTTAGAGCTTTGGGTGAGGGGTTTAAGGAGATGAGGGAGCGGGGGAGGCTGGGAGCTTGGACCTAAGTGGGGGCGGCTATGACAGCGAGGGGTTAGGATTGCCCCCAAATCCAGCCTTCACCATGTGTGGGGGTCCAGGCAGGCAGGACTGGGATGGCCTATTCAGGAATTCCTGGGAATGTGCCCACTCCTGCCTGGCTCCATACTCAATTATGGGCTGGCACCTAGTAAGATGGGGCTGCTTCTCCCCACCCCAGGGTGATAGGGCAGAGGATAGGTTTGCCCTAGTATACACTGACCGTCCCCCACCACCCCTGCCCTGTTGAGCCTGCTAGAGGTCATATTCTAAGCCTGGGGCTCAGTCTTCATTCCTGCTGCCTCCTTTCCCTTTCTCAAAGCCCCCAATGCCTCAGGAAGGGTACAACAACAGGCTTGAGCCCCCCAGAAGTTGGGTGTGCTAAGTTGGTGTAATGGGCATGTTTATGTGGATGTGAGTATGTACCACATTGGCATAGGCATAGAATGGGGCTGATGGCAGCTGGCCTGAAGCTGCCCAACCTTAGAGTCCGGCCTTTGCAGCCTCATCTCCTATCCACTCCTGCACAGAAGACCCCCCACATCAGTCTGAGGTCCTCAGCAGAATGGCCAGAACTGATGGAACCCCTGTGCAATGATCAGAGATTACTATGAGTTCAGGAAACCTGTTACATGCAGCAGTAGCAGTAGCAGCTAAAGCCACTGGAAAACCTTGAGGCGTTACTGTCATTAGTCCTTTGGGGCCCCCAGATCCAGAAGTCCTGGTCAATGCACTGTGTCTGAAGAATTCCCACCTCCACACCTTTGCACCCTCTTACATATATATACATATATATATATATACACACACACACACACACACACACACACACACACACACACATATATATATATATATATATATATATATATATATATATATATATATACTCCTATGCAATTTGGGCCCTGTATAGTCCCCCTTCGTGATCCAGGGAAGAGCCAACCTCATCAGGACTGGCCAGCTCCCCAGTCTTCAGCCCCTCCCCCGGAGCCCTGGCTCACCCCATGGAGGTGTTTTTACCTCTTTCCAGGGATGGGCAGAGAATATTCCCTGTACAACTGGAGCCTGAGTAACATGGTCTTGAAGAGTGAGGACCACAGACTTAAGGCAAGAAAGGACCTTGTTTTTAAATGAGGGAAACAGCTCCAACAGGACAGGGGTTTGACCAAGGTCACATAAGGAGCAGGATTTGAACCTAGGTGTGATAGTTTCATGTCATTTGTTGGGGGGCAGCCTGGGAGAGGCCTGTCACTGCCTGAATGTGTGGGCCCCTTCTCTCCTGGGACATCCCATGGTGTTGGAGGGAGGAGGGAGCTGGTGGGGCTAAAGAGGGTTTGTCTTCTTCTCCTCTCCCCAAACCCCTGCCTCTGTCTCTACCCCAGCTGTGTGTGGAATTTGTGGTGCAGAACCTGGACATGGAGCTGGTCTGTGAGGCCCTGCAGGTGAGTCCAGATCCCCAATCTCCCTCATCCACACATGCACCCCCACACCTAGCCCCAGCCACATGAGGAAGAGAAGGCAAGGGCCCAGCAGGCCTCATGATTATGATCACAGGGACCGGTCTGGTTGAGTGACTGCAGATGGGAACATCTGCAGGTGGGTGTGGGAGGGACCCCCAATGCCTGGGAGGGGGCTGAGTTGCCAGTGTCAGAATGGTGGGTTTCTGTGAGCCCTGGGCAGGTCCTCATTGGAGTGGCCTTAGGTCTCTGCACCTGCAGCAGTTTCTTACCCTTCAAAGCCCAGCTCCAGAGCTCTGACCCTCCTTGACTATAGTGCAGACAGCCTCCTTGTTTTTTTTTCTGTCTCCCAGACTGGGAGCCCCCTGAGACCAGAGCCTGAGGCTGTTCCTGTCCCCCTTAGATTGGGAGCCTCCTGAGGGCAGGAGACAGCTTGTCACGACTCTTTCTCTTATGAGAGGTGTGTGTGTGTGTTGGCGTAGGGGGTGGTGGTGTGGGGGTATGTGTAGGTGTGTCAAATAATCATCGAAGTGCCTGTGAGGCTGGGCCCTGCCAACCTGACTTTTGTGAGGATGTGAAATGCCAGTCAGGGCCCTGGGGACTGGCCCCTGCCCTGGCCACTTGTTAAGCCAAACACACCCCTAGGGATTGATTGCTCACTCAGGCTGGGACCCCCTGGGAGTCACAGAGAAGGGTAAGGTGCTCAGGCCCCAGGGCTAAGAATAGCTGTAACCCTCCTGACCTTCACCTTTCACTGTTTCCTGTTGTGATAAACAGGAGGCTGTGGCCTGTGACCGAAGCTGTATCCATCGAGCCCCTCAGCCTGCTGCTGTCCCTCCCCCCATTTCCTCATTTGTAAATGTTCGGCATGGGCCTTGCCTACCCATCCCTCTCCAATATGTGTAGAGGGGCCAAGGGGTGAGGACACCTCAGTTTGTCCTTGGCCCATCTGTGTCATGGGCATGATCAGGTTCCCTATCTTCTCCCCTCTCCCTTCCCCCCACCCCTGTTGTTCGGAAAACACGCAGTAAACCAGAAAGCCTCTTAGCCACAGCTGGGGTGGTTATGAATAATTCCTGGCCTCGATATGAAGCTATCTCAGCGTCAGCAGCTGCTGGTGTTGATGCTGCTTTGACGCTCCTCCCCTCTGGGTCCCCACCCTCCACCTGGCTGGCAAACCGTGTCTGCCAGAGGCCTGTTCTCAGCTCTTCCATGAACCTTTAGGCTTGCCTCGAACCAGGACCATCGATGCATCCATCTGCAGGCTTCTAGAAAGACTCCCTCCTGCTCTAAAGCTATGTTCCCATGATCCATCCTGCTAGGACAAACTTCCACTCCCTCCCATTTCACAGGAAGGGAACAAGCATTTAAGTGTGCCAGGAGCCGTTTTAGAAATATTTCATTTGGGGGCAGCTAGGTGGCGCAGTGGACAGAGCACCAGCTCTGAAGTCAGGAGGACCTGAGTTCAAATAGGGCCTCAGACCAAACATTGACACTTACTAGCTGTGTGACCCTGGGCAAGTCACTTAATGCCAATTGCCTAAAAAATAAAATAAAAAAAAGAAAGAAATATTTCATTTGATCCTCACGTGTTGCTGCTATTACCCTCATTTTAGAGGGGAGGAAACTGAGGTAGGAGTTAAGTGACTTGCCCAGGGTTCCATGGCTGGTAGTGTCTGACACCACATTTGAACTCAGATCCTCCTGAGAGAGGCTAGACCGGAAGCCTGCTCTCCCCTCTGGGGCAGCCCCGGCTTGAGCCTCACCTCCCTGTGTCCTGGACAGGTGGCAGTGACCTTCGGGTTGCGGCAGTTGCGGGAGAAGTGCCTGAATTTCATCGAGCGTCATGCCCAGGTACCGCCAAGGCCGCCTAGCCCGGGTCGGGGGGGGGGGGGGGGGGGGGGGGGGGGGGGGGGGGGGGGGGGGGGGGCGGCAGGGAGGGGACGGCCCTGAGCCCGTGCTGCCTTGGCAGGACGTGCTGAGGACCCCAGCCTTCCACGAGCTCTCCCCGGCCGCCTTGTTAGCAGTGCTGCACAGTGACCACCTGGCAGTGGATGAGGTCGAGCTTGTGGCTGCCACCCGCCACTGGGCAAGGGTCAGCTCGGTGAGCCTCGGGCCTGGGACCCCTCTTGGGCGAGTTGCCTGCCCTCTCTAGACTGCCTCAGGTTCCTCGAGGGGAGTGGACTAGCTGATCTCTGAGAAAGCATCCCGGAGAAGACCCGGACAGTTCTTGGGGGGAGGCGGGAGCCCCAGGGCAGAGCAGGGTAGGGCCTGGTCTTGGGCAGGGCTGGAGCAACCCGAGATGCGAGGCCGGGCGGGGGCGGGGCTGGAACCACCCGAGATGCGAGGCCGGGCGGGGGCGGGGCTCTCTTTCAGGCGGTGCTGGAGCAGCCGATGGGCCAGGTGGCGCAGGCCGTAGTGGGAGAGCTGCGACTACCTCTGCTGTCCCCTTCCGAGCTGAGTTCGCTGGAGGAGCAAAACCGGGTCGAGCCTTTCATACCGGTAGGGGACGACTCCCTGCGGCCGCAGGGGAGCCACTCGCTGGCTGCCAGACCCAGCCTCTCCACCCAGAAAACCCCTACTGTGTGCCCCTCGCCCCGATCTTTACGGTGCACCTCCCAGGTATCCCCTACTGTGCGTTTTCCATAGGGTGCCTTTACCATGCGACCCCCCCCACCTTCTACAAGGACTCCACAGTCCCCACTGTGCACCCTCCCCAGAGAGCCCCACCCCAAACCTCCCGTGCGTCCCTGAAGCCCCTTCCCTCGGAAGAGTTTCTTCGGTGACAGGCCCCGCCCCCCCCCCCCCAGATGGAGCAAATTGCCGAGGCCTGGAAGTACCACGCCCTGAGCCGGGGAGAAGCGACCCGGGGCATCCAGGGCCGCCGCCGAAAGGGGACCGCGCCCCGAGAGCACCACCGTTTCCTGGAATTGCTGCCCAAGTGATCGAGCTCTGGAGACTCCCCCGCCTTGCTCTGAACTACAGCTGCCGGCACCCTCTGCGCCAACGGGCGCTGCAGCTCCCGGCATCCTCCATGCTGTACCTCCCCGCCCCGTTTTGAACACCTAGACCCAGGATTACGGCTTCCACCACCTTCTTCGGGCTCTTTGACCCGGACTGGAGCTAGGCCATAATAAAGACCTAAGCATGCGGCTCCCCTCTCCCCGATCTCTCAGCGCCAGGTCCTTTATTCACTGCCTGCAACCATTCTCAGGATTTTTTATCTCTTCCTCCTCCCCCCAGATGCAGATGACTTGCCCAAGATCACCCAGCTAGTGGATGGCAAAGACAGGATTCGGAACCCTAGTGTTTGGTCCTCTAGCCCAGAGCTGTCCCCTTGTTTCGCTACATTCTTTCTAGCTTGTCAAAGCCCATGAACTCAATCACTATTTCTACGCAGATGACTCCCAGATCTATACACGCACTCCTCAACCTCTCTCCTCAGTCCCAGTCCCGAATTACCTTGTCGACACATCTCCATCTGGATGTCCCCTAGGCATCTCAAGTTCGACATGACCCGAACTGAACTCGTTATCTCCCCTTCCCCAACCCCCTCCAGGACATCATCTTCCCGTCACCTAGACTTAGGAGTTCCGTTGTAATCTTTGACTCCTCTCTCCCTCCCTCACCATAACCAACCCATCAAGTCTTGCAGTGCCATTATCCACATTTCCGGAACCTGCCCTCTCTTTTCTTAAGTAAATTTTATAATCAGCTCCGTATCGTCTAGAAACCAAAAATAAAGTTAAGGCAGCGCTAAAACCATAAAATCCAGACCGGTGTCAATGGAAGGAGACCCGTCTATTCTGATGAGAATAGAGTGAGATGGTACCAAACAGCCCACAGCAAAGCCCCGCCCCCGGGGCCCAGGGCCTCTCTCCAGCTCCCTCCAGTCTGCGCTGTCAGGTTCCTGCTTCTTCGGCTACCGGGTTCTCCTCTTGGCCTAATTGCATGTTGAGTCTTCCTCCTATGCCCTTCCACGTATCGGTTTTACGTATTTGTCATTTTGTCTGGCACAGTAATAATATTCCCTGACGCTCACAGGCCTCTCGATTCAGACATTCCGCTGCTGGGCACGTGGGTGGGTTCCATTTTTTCATTATTACGAATAAAGCTACTAGGAATATTTTTGTGTATTGTTTTTTTAACAACCATCCGTAGGCTATCGTCCCAGACGCAGGTTCACGGGGATCAGAGGGTCCGATGAGTTCTGTAGCTGGCCTTATAGATCACCAGACTGTTCTTCAGTGAGCAGCACTAACCTATCCGACCTGTCCTGATCGATCTGTCTCTGGCCTCTCCCTTTCTTAGCCAGCCTTCCAAAAGCAGCTGGAAATTCACTTCGTAGAGCACACCCTGGCAGCTAGATGCGCTGTAGAAAGAGGGCCAGGCCTGGAGTCGGGATGACTCGTCTTCGTGAAGTTTTAAATCTGACCTCGGACACTTACTAGCTGCGCTTGACCCTGCGCACGTCACTTAATCCTGTTTGCCCCAGTTTCCTCAACTGTCAAAACGGATGGCCAAGAGAAAGACAAACTACTACACTAGGTTTCCCGCGGGGGGAGGGGGGGAAACAAATCCGAACAAGACCAAGAACGTTAAGAACCACACCGAAGCAAGACAAAAAAACACTAAATACCAAAATGAAAGCTCAGGACTTAATTCTTCAACGCTCATAAAACACAAATTTCTCTGACGCGACTCCTAATCACGTACGATTCGTTAACTGAGAAAAAAAGAATGGTGAGTACTAGTTCTCCATAATTGCATTGGATGAAGTACAGCGCGGCGGCTTGAACAGTTGAGGTTATATGACTCACCCAAAATTACAACACTAGTAAGCATCAAGAACTAGAACTACCACATAACCAAAACCTCAAACACTGTAACCATACATACTCGTTTCTCTAGGTATATACGGTTATATGTACTTTGTACGATTAAATCATAACACTACCTTCCACGCCACCTGATGGCGAAGCAGGAAGTGCTAAGAAAACATCCCGCTTACATCTGCTTTTTATACTTCTTAATATAAGCCTCGCAAACGCGAGGCCTCAAAAAATTAGTTAAAAACTCTTAACTGTTCCTCTCCACGGAAATCTTTAGTAAAAGGCGAAAGATTTATACGATCTGAAGAGAAACCAGAGTATGCCACAGGGTAGCGTCCGTGCCCAGCCCTTCAGCGGTCATATCGGGTAAGCTCATGGTGACCATTATCCCTCAGGGAGACAGCAGCCCCTTCATTCTGCTTCGGGACCCCGCGCGGGACAGGCCGGCCCAGGACTGACCCTGGCCCCTGGACGCCCCAGAAGCCACTTGCAGGAGGGCGCATAAGGAGAGCCTGGACGCACTGCATTGTGGGTATGCAGATGAGCTTAGTCGCTGCTTCAGTTTCCCCGCATTGTCAGTTTTCCTCCGTGTGACACTCACCTCTCTAAGGCTCTCCTCGCCCTCTCCCCGGCACCACAGTCTATTGCTTGTGAGGCCCAGCTTAGTAAAGAAGAGTAACAAGCCCAGAGAAGGCAAGGAGGCTGCCCAAGGTCACAAAGCTAATGGGTGACCAGGCAGGAGGTGTCTTTCCTCTCAGATGGCCTCAGTCCACAGCCCCAGGCTGCTTCCTCTCCCCTCAGCGATCCCACCCAGCCGCCCTCCTCACTTTAACCTCCCTCCCCACCTCTGCTCTGGCCGCTTCGGTTTAGATCCCCCAGGCTCGAGACCAAATGCATTCCATCCTGGGCCTCCTCCATTTGAGTCTTCTCCTGGCATCTCCCAGCACAATCGGTGGGCACTAGCCAGCAAGAAGCCAGGTGGCCCACTGGGTAGAATCAGGAAGATCTGAGTTCAAATTCGACCTCAAACACTTTCTAGCTGTGTGACCCTGAACAAGTTACTTAAACTTTGTCTGCCTCAGTTTCCTCAACTGTAAAATGGGGATAATAATGGTACTACCTCCCAGGGTTGCATAGTGACTGGCATATGGTATGCGATTGATAAATGTTGATTGCTGCTTTTCCTCCCCTTGCCTCCAGACCTCTGAGTCCTCTCAGTTCACGTGGTTGGGGTGGGGGGGGATAAAAAGAGGAAGGGGAGGAGGCGAAGGGAGAGGAGTCCTCATGGCCAGACAAATCTTCATGCATGCAAGGAGGGGCAACAAGATTATTGTCTGTCCTTCGTTCTTAAAAAAGGACCATGACATCAGGGAGGTGATACCATGACATGCAAGTGAATTGCTTTAAGTGAGGGAGGGCTGTGCAAAGTCACCAGCCTCACTCTCCTCTGGAGCCATTTGGGTCCAGTGGCCAGACATAGATCAGGATGACTGGAGATGGCCCCGATGCAGTGAGGGACCTTGGCCTTTTCAAGCTAAGGTCTTTAACAGGTCTCAGTTGGAGCAGCAAGGAAGCCAGTTAGGCTAAATCAAAGTGAGTAATAAATGAGGCTTGGGGGTCAAAGCCAGAAGCCCTGATTTAATCCTAGCCAAGAGCCAAGGGCATTTCTTGAGCGGAGAGTAATAAAATCAGAGCAGTCCTTCAGTAAGAAGATGACTTTGGCAGCTGTGGAAAAAGAGAGAAAGGTGAGAATGGACACATTGTAGGTGCTGAATAACTGTTTTTTCATTCATTTCTTGCCTCAGAGCTGGAAGGGACCGTGATGCTTTCTGCCTATCTCTCCTCCTTCACCCGTCTCACATGATGAAGTGGCCTTACTCCTCACCAAGGCTGACTCCCCTGCCTGTTCAAGAGATTCAGGTCCAACCCATCTGCTCCAGCACACTGTCTCCTCTGTCATCTCCACTCTCTCACTTATTTTCAATCTCTCTCCACTGGCTCATTTCCTACTGCCTACAAACATACCCATGTTTCTTCCATCCTGAAAGAAACCCCTCCCTTGATCCTTTCATCCCTATCATTCTATATCCCTTCTGCCCTTTGTGCTCCTTCAAAAAGGCGTCTCCAACTGGCTCCTCCTCCTCTCCTCTCACTCTCTTCTTAACCCCTTACAATCTGGCTTCTGACCTCATCATTCCACTGAAGCTACCCTCTCCAAAGTTACCAAAGATCTCTTAGCTGCCAAATTCAGTGATCTTTTCTCTGTCCTCATTCTCCTTGACCTCTCTGCAGCCTTTGCCACTGTCGATCACTCCCTCCTCCTTCATACTCTCATCTCTCTCAGTATTCAGGACATTCCTCTTTCCTGGTTCCCCTCCTACCTCTCTGATGGCTCCTTTTCTGTCTCCTTTGCTGGATCCTCTAGATCACACCCTCTATCCACAGGTGTGCCTCAGGTTCTGTCCTGGATCCTCTTCTCTTTTTCCTCTATAATACTTCACTTGGTGATCCCATCAGCTTCTATGGATTTACTTTTACTGATGATTCTCAAATCTACCTTTCCTGCCCCAGTCTCTCCAACTTTCAATCTCCAACTGCCTTTCAGTCATCCCAAACTGGCTGTCTAGTAGACATCTATATGTCTAAAACTGAACTCATTCTCCTTCTCCTAAATCATCTGCTCTCCCTCCCTTCTCTGTTACTATACCTGTATTATATACCACCCTTCCAGTCCCCAGGAGTCATCCTGGACTCCTGCCTCTGTCTCACTCCCCATGTCCAAGCTGCTGCCAAGGACTGTCAATTTCACCTTTGCCACGTCTCTCAAATATGCCTCCTTCTCTCCTCTGGCACAGCCACTGCTCCAGTGCTGGGATTATCAATAACCCAGGGACTGGAGAGTCGTCAGCCTGCTCTCTCCCCTCCCATCCAGTTTCCATTCAGCTTTCCTAAAGCACAGTTCTGATCATGTCACCACTATTACTTAGTAAACTCCAGTGTCTCCCTTATGCCTCCAAGAGCAAGTATAAAATGCCCTGTTTGACATTCAAAGCCCATCATAACCTGGCCCCCTCCTTCCTTTCCAGTCTTCTTACACTTTACTCCCCAACACATGCTCTTTGATCTAGTGACACAGGCCTCCTGGCTGTTCCTGGAGCAAGACCCTCCATCTTTCCAATCTGGGCATTTTTTTCTGACTGTCCCCCATGTCTGGAAAGCCCTCTCTCCTCTGATCTGACTTGCTTTAAGTCCCAACTAAAATCCCATGTACAGGAAGCCTTCCCTAAAGCCTCTTAATTCCAGTGTTTTCCCTTTTTTATTTATTTCCTATTTATCCTGTATATAGCTTTGCCTTGTATATATGTGTTTATATATTGTCCCCTCTATTCCAGTGTAAGCTCCTTGAGGGCAGGGACTGTCTCATCTTGCATGCAGTGGGCATTTAATAAATGTTTATTGATTGATTGAGTTTAAATCCAGTCTTATTTCTCATTACTAAACTTTGTGACCTTGGGCAAGGCATTTAATCTCAGTTTCCTCACCTGTGAAGTGGGGATAATAATAATAGTATCTATTATTACAGATTGTTCCTACAACTCCCAGGGTTGTCTTTAGGATTAAATGGGATAATAATTGTAGAGTGTTTAGCACAGTACCTGGCACATAGTAACTTAGCTATTATTATTATTATTATTATTATTATTACTGAGACTCTCTGATAATAATAGCTAACCTGTAGCACTTGAAGGTTCACAGAGAGCTTTATATGGTAACTCTTCCCTGTGAAGGTTAGAGATGGGGTGGCCACCATTTTACAGATGAAGAAACGGGCTGACAGAGGTTACTCAAGTGACTTGTCCAAAGTAACACACAACCTGTAAGCAAATATCTGGGTCGGAATTGGAATTCAGGTCCTCCTGAGTCTACCAACTCTGCCCTCTAATTAATCACACTACGACCTTTATAGACTAGAAAACGGAGGCCCAAGAAAGCTGACTTACTCAGTCATGCAGAGTCGGTCTGGGGACAGATGCGAGAGATGCGGCTGTAGACAAGACTTGGCCATTGAGAGGATACATACCTGCTTAGTCGCGGGGGACCCCAATTGAAATCCAGTAGGAGGGGCCCTCTGGTTTTGAAAAGATTTTACTCTCCTAACTAGGAAACCAATCGCCACTTGCTAATAACATTTTTGTTGTTGAGTTCGCCTCTTCGTGACCCCATCTGTTTTGTTTTTGTTTTTGGGGAAAGTACCGAGTAGTTTTGGAGAAAAAAATTGAAGCAAACAGTGCTC